TATAAATATTTCCCATATATTTACATTGTTGATTGCAGCAGAAATCTTACAAAGAAAAAACTACATAGTGCAAAGGGAAAAACAAAAACACCAACTATGTTCACTGTTGCACTATGTAGTTTTTTCTTTGCACTATGTCATTTTTGCTTTTTGACCGTAGTAAACATCTGAGATCTTAACTGTTTGTGTGCTGCCTATTTTCTCATTGGATTTAAACGGCATCACTTTAGGTCATGTACCTTCAAGCTGGCTTAAAAAGGTACAGGTGCAGGATGGATTTTTGTCCATCTTACCATCAATAATGTCATAAGGTGTCATTCAAAGTCAGGTAAGTGGGTTAATGACAACGTTCTCTTGTACATGTCTAGTGGGCGCTAGACCTGAAGTGTACATCACCAAATTGAAGTTAAGCACCATCCTTCCTGGGTTTACACCACACCCTTTGTCATTCAACATTTAAATGCCAGAAATACAGTGGGAAGTAGAGCCTCTGGCATTTGACTATTGAATGGAGCAGAGTTGCATCTAAGTGGCCAGAGAAACATTTTGTTTCTTTTTGTGTAAAGCTTAATCAAAATAAATTAAGTTTGCCAGGTTTTCATATGCAATACTAGGGGCTCATATTCCTGTGGGTCATGTGGCTTTAAGGTATGCCTTTGACTATTTCCCTTTTTTTGTTACTGATTCTGATATTACTCTGATTTACTAATGTGCGAGAGGAGGTAAATGTATCTGTTTTCACTTTATATATACAGTTACATGCAGGGAAATGTATAGAACTTGAGCTTTGAAACAAGGGAAAGTCCAGAAAGTAGGCACTGAATGTGTCAGAGCTCAAAATGCCAGATTGTTGTCTTGTAGTCTGCTGTGGGAGAGTTCAGGGAGGCGAAGCTGCTGTTCACACAGTAAAGAAGAGCAGTCTTGTCACCATTACACAAAAAATCTTGGGGGTCAAGTTTTATTATGTTTTATGATAAACTTTAGGCCTGAAAGGAAAGTGAGAAAAAGAGGACACCGCGTTTAACAACATATATTTTTGGCTTAAGTGTTTAGATAGACTTTAATGATTATTTCTATGCAGATGTTGGGAGACAAAGATGACTATTACGATGATGGAAAGATTGATAATTACCATAATCATAGAATCATTCACAAGTTGCTATTTATGCTATTTAGCATTTGGTTGATTTAATGGACAAATATAATTATCTGTTTGTCACCCTCAATCACCAATTCTGCTATGCAATGAAATAATGTGCTTATAACAAAAAGTGGTAAAGGTCACCAACCAGTCACCAACCAGTCACCATCATCACATATTATGTCAGCTTCCATATTTAATGAATCCACTGCCTACAGGATATCAATCACCATATCCTTTGTCCATATTAGAAAGCTGTATTTACTGTGCATAGCTAGGTATTTCCAGAATTTCTACTGCCAAATTTTAAAAAAATAGAAACTCAAATTTTCTTCCGCATCCCTAGTATATAGCCAGCATATGACATAACACATGCTTTGTATCACTGGGTCTGTTATGGTTGTGTTTATATCATTAAATATGACATATTGCAGCAGGGACTGCTGTATGTGAACTGTTTACATTTTACTAGGGGCAAGCTTAAAGTATAACTTTAGTATAACTGTAGGATTTGTAGATCTGAATTGAAAGTATCAGTGTTTGACAAGCACTAATGCATATCACTTCCCCTGCACATGTTGACTTCCTAATACTGACAATCCTTCCTAGCATGTTGTGATTAATGAGCCTGTCCCAGCATGGTATTGAATTTGGAACATCATGTCAGCTATTGAAGTTTTCCTGCCTGTTGGTGGTCTTATGCCCTTCTTATTTCCTGCATAAGATAGATGGAAGACCTCTGTGAAAGTGAATGCTTTATAGCTGAAAGCCTTGTTTTAGATCTCTCTGGTAATTATGCTTAAACACCCCAACTCCTGTCAACAACTTCCTTTTGAAAGGGTCCTGATGGATTTTCCAGTCAGGGAGCTTTCTCTAGGTATTATCCACTTGCTTTGGTAGCCAAGTCAGTGAACTATAAATCAAACTGCAGATGTTTTACTGGAACATGCCAAAGTCGTAACATTTCTGATAGTTTGGCAAAAATAGCTTCTCTTCTCTTGCAATATGAAATGTAAACAAAACTACAGAATGTGAGTGAACTATGTTTAGTGGTTACATTTTTTGTTATCAGTAAATAATGCAATAATAACTCAATATTTTCCAGTAATAACTTAGATTTGGCAGCCAGTTCTAACTCCCTGCTGTATAACACAGAAGAGGATGGCCACCCAACCAACAATAACTCATGGTTCCCAACACACAAAAATGTTATATTTTGATATATTTATAGTCAGTGACTTCTGCTTAAACACATAAGAGGGTTATTCACAAAGCTAGCTGATGGATCAGCCGTAGCTCCAGCGTTCGCTCATTTCACTTCAGGTCAGTTATTCACTCGGCTGCCTTTGGCAGCTTTGTGAATACCCCCTAAATGTTTTAAAGAAAGATGTGTTGTCTTCTAGTTAGATCATAACAGTCAAATGTATATTGCAAATGTGCCCAGCCTGGTACCTGTGAGCAACAAAAATGCATTTTTCTTTTAGACACGTTTATATGCCATTGTGGTTATTGCATCTTAAAAGTAACTTTTGAATGTTTTAACCCCTTACTGACACAGTTTCAGATAATTTTTTCGTTCCTGGGCTTGGGGGAATTTTGCTATGTGTTTGTTTAACCATAATTTCCATTTTCCTCATTCATTGCACTTACACATATTATATACCGTTTTTTTGAAGGACAAAATGGGCTCTAATTTGATGTGAAATATGCATAAATAAATTCTTATGTTCTTATTAAAAAATACAGAAATGTGAAAAACAAATTGAAAAAAACCCACAAATTGTTCACAATTTTGGCAATAGTTTTGGCAATAATAATGTGTACACAATTAGGGGTCTATTCACTAAGCTGCCGAGGGCAGCCGAGTGAACAACCGACCACAAGTGAAGTGAGCCGAACACTATTCACTCCAGGCTGGTACGGCTGATTTCAGCCGTACATCGGCTGAAATCAGCCGTACATCGGCTTGCTTCACATGGCTTCGGGTCGGCCGAACATGCTCAGCATGTTCGGCCGACCCAAAGTGCAGAAGGAGTTCGACTCAGCCGATCCAACATCTGAGCTAGTGGTGACAGCAAGCTCCGCCCAATAGTTTCCTATTGTCCGGCGGCTCTGCTGCCGTCA